TAATTTTTAGAAACTATTTTAACAATTTGACATATAGGATCATGTTAAATTTTTCTTCAAGGTATTTTGCTTGCCTCACCCACCTACTGATCAGGTCATGTATTTCACACGTAGGCATGTGTAGTTAACAACTATTTTACCCTCATGCATACTTAAATCTGTATTTATGAGAACCTCATTGCCATGGTGCTGACTGTTTATGGGAGTAGGAAGCCCAGTCTTTCTTTCGCGGATCTGCTGGCGGTTTTGAATGCTGACCATGAGGATCAGAGCCCAATGTGTAGCCACTCCACCGCCAGGGCTCCATCCTTATGAAAGTCTACTGTTAATGATTTATCGTTCTGAGGAACTCGTGTTGAATGGACTGATTGCCCCTCCTGTTGATTCTGACTGATAGTGATGCTCTGGAGCAGAGTGGTATTGCCCCATAGTTTCCAAAGCTGTACATTTTACGGATAGCGGACTGTGATATCTTTCTCCCGTGGGGCCACAGGTGAGGTTGAACCATGGACTTTTCAATTGGCAGCACTGTGTTTAATCATTGTGTTGGCAGGTGCCTTGGCTGCAGTAGAACTTCCCACTTCTTTCAGGTTCATCTTGGGCAAGTTCTCACTTTCCTTCATGAGAAATTTGGGGGATCCACTATCTGCTGTAAATTATCTTACTGGTTGAAGGATACAACAATAGCCATTGTAGAAGGAAAGAATAATTATTAAACAGAATGAAATATATACCTTCTTAGATGAGTGAAACTAAAACAGAAAAATAAAAATAGGAAAGAGGAGTACGGAGGATGACAGTCGATGTTCCATTTAAAAGCCACGCTGAGGGAATCATTTCATCGTTTTATTAGGGGCTCATACAACTCTTATCACAATCCATACATACATCAATTGTGTAAAATATATTTGTACATCCATTGCCCTCATCATTCTCAAAACATTTGCTCTCCACTCAAGCCCCTGGCATCAGGTCCTCATTCTTTCCCTCGCTGAGGGCATACTTTACCGAGAAGGTGATGTTTGAGAAAGAGCTGAGTGGTTGAGCAGCACATCACAGGGAGACAGCAGGGGATCGAGTGTTACAGACTGATGGAGTACCATGGGCCAAGACCCTGTGCTGTACACATGTCTACTGATTTCTGGGGACATCCCAGAGCCCACTGTAGCTAGACAGGTGTGTGAAAGGGGAATGGAGGAAAGAGCTGGGTTTATAGAGTGAATGAGAAGGGGACTTGGGAAATGAAGGGTGAGGATAAATGGTGTGGTCTTGGGACATGCTGAAGTTAGGGTCAGGGTCTTAAAATCACCAGCAGACATCAAAGCATTCTGAGTCACAGTTTAATAATCCAGTTCAAAATTGCCACCCAAGAAAGACCATGAAAGTGATCAAGTGATTTTTCAAGGTCAGGGCTCACGTCGTCCCCTTTGGAAGTCTAGTGCCTGCAGACTAAACATTTGATCAACGTTTTACTGAGCTGCATTTCTAAAGTGAATGGTCAGAAACAGTATTTAGAACTGATATCTCGATGGTAAGAATTTTTGAACAAATGATTAGGTATTAAATTCTTGTCAGTTTCACCAGGTTTTGATGACTCGTTATGGACATGAACTCCTGGCCTCCGGTGAGCTAACGCAGGCCTAAGCAATCACAGGCACGTTCCTTCTGTATCAGAGGGGTGCCTTTCCCTCAGTAGACACGTAAAAGGGCAATATGTGGCATGTTGTGCTTACTCATTGTAAATTGTATCCATTCTACCAAATAATGTTGCTGATCATTAAGGGTGTTTTTTTCAAGTCTGGTATTTTAACTGGTAATGGAAGCAGAACATAATACACATTTTCTAATCTTACTGAACTTAATGTATGCTTTGGTAGAGGATTTAGATTTATTGACTTTGCCATTCTGGGACAGTTTAGATAATGGACTTTTAGGTTTTGCCTAAAGACAATGGGAAGGAAACTTTTGGATTGTATTAGTGAGACCATCTCTCGCTGATGTGTATTTTTAAAAGACCCCTTTTCCCCACTGGATGGAGAATGGGTAGGCTTCAAGACTAGGGGCAAGAAACCAGATCAGTGAGACCTTTGCAGTCAACTATGGGATGGTGGTGGTGGTGGGGAGGATGAACAAGACTGAAGATAGTGGAATTGAAAAGAAAAGCCAGAATTCAAGAACTATAAGGAGGTAGAACTGAGAGGTCTTGGTGACGTGTGTGTGTGTGTGTGTGTGTGTGTGTGTGTGTGTTCATGCCGGCACTTGCACCACTGTCCATGTCCCCATGGCAAAGGAGTAGAGATTGGTGAGGAAAACTGCAGAGTCTAGGAGGACTCTTAGGGTTCTAGTTTGGACAACCCCTAGTCCCAGATTGCCATTTTACCAATTTGTCTACATTTTCTTAGAAGTATAGATGTTCTGGAATTATTAGAACTTACAATCCAATTCAGTAAAATGAAAAAAAAAAAACCCCAGCAAAAATATACAATTTTAAGATTAAAGAATAAATATAGAATTCATTCTATGTTTTTTGAAAGCTATCAACATTCATTGTGATCTTACTTGTTTTCCTCTCTTAGGAGAGGCATGTGGAAATGTGAACTGTTGCTCTCTGCCGACCACCAGGTCAATAGCAGAGCTTCCAATCTAGTCCTTTGCTTCGGTCAAAAGGCCACCGAGGATCCCACGCAGCTGCCGAGCTCTGCATCTGAGCCCAGCTCTCGGGCATCACTGCTGGTGCTGTGTGCACATTTAAGAGAAAGGGAGCCAAAATCAAGCCAGTCTCAACAAGGAGAATTTCAACAATCACGTTAGGAATACGCAGAGGGCCATATTCTGCCCTCAGAAGCACACCCGGATTTCCATTGACGTCAATACTTATTACTCACATGTATCCAAGGGCAGGATCTGGCCCTTAGAAATGAAATTAAATAATTCCCTGTGTGGGGCGCCGGAAAGTATCACAGATCACTAGACAAACTTCTAACCATTAAAGGGAAGTTCTTCGTGTGTGCGTGTGGTAATGCCAAAACTGACAGATTTAGATGGCCCAGGGATGCAAATAGGGGCCTTGCCCAGATTACTGTTTTTGTTTACAAGCACTGATGATCTGCAAATGTATTTTCAGGAGGACATGTTTTTTCAAAGATGCAGGAGATGGCTACAGTAAAGTTTTTACCCTTTGCTTGTGGCTGGAATTAAAATGCATCAAAATTAAGAGTCTAACTTCTCGCATTCCAGAAAGAGAAAAAACAGCTTCAAACATCTATTAGTAATTGGAGCATGAGATGTACAGAGTATGAATCTAGAAACATTGTAGGTTGTCAAAAATGAAATGGAACATGGAAGATAGATCGGTGAAATGGAAGTGGTGCTACGACAAGGACCAGTTAATATGACCATTATGCAAGTCTATCCACTAATCCCTTATGCCAAAGATGAGGAAATTAAAGATTTTTAAACCAATTTCTGCAGTCTGAAATTGACCAAACATACAATGAAGATGTACTGATTATCCTCGGTGACTGGTCTCGAAAGTTGGAAACAAAGAAATGGCAGTTGGAAAATATTGCTCTGGTGATAGAAAAGAAGCCAGAGAAATCCCGATACAATTTTGCAAGAACAATGACCTATTCATTGGAAATACTCCCTCCCGCCTTTCCCCCAACACCATGAATGGTCATTATACATGTGAACCTTGCCGGATGGAATACATAGACATGTAATTAAGTACATCTGTGGAAAGAGACCATGAAGAAGCTTAATAGACTCAGACGAAGCTAAGAAGCAATGGCAGAGCAGACCATTTGTAGCTGAAGAAAATGAAAACAAGTTCATGAGATCCAAAATAAGCAGTGAGTCTACCGTACGTGAATTCAGAGACTATCTCAGAAATGTTGAGGAAAGACCAAGCAAATGATGGGCTGGCATGAAGGATATCAGACATGAAGAGAGCAGACAGCCACTAAAAAGACAAGGAAGAGAGAGAGAGAAAGAAAGACCAAGACGCATGTCAGGCGAGACATTGACATTTGCTCTTGAATGTAGAGCAGTTGAGAAAAATGCAAGAAATGAAGAAGTCAAAGAGTAGATTTCAAAGGGTCGAAGTAAAAGAGTAACTTTACAATTCTAGTAGGAAGTAAAATGTTTCAAAGGCGAATTAAAGGATTATCATGAAAAGAGCAAAGGCCTGGAGTTAGAAAACCAAACGGGAAGAGCACACTCAGCATATCTCCAGTCGAATGAGCTGAAGAAATCATTCAAGCCTCAAGTTGCAATATTTGAAGATTTTATATAGATATATGAAACTATTTTTGGAAAATATTGCAATATGCTAGAAGCTTCAGAAGATGGGAGGACTAGACATAGACCCCATATAAGAAATGAATTGGTTGACGCTCAACCATTTCAGGAGATAACATATGATCAAGAACTGATAGTACTGAAGGAAGAAGTCCAGGCTGCACTGAAGGCATTGTCTCCAGAAATTGAACACCGATTAATGTTTTAACAAAGGGATGCCAAGCTGGATGTACTCATTCATCCGCCAACAAATTTGGGAGCTAGCTACATGGCCTACTGACTAGAAGAGATCTATATGTGGGCCCGGTCCAAAGCAGGGTGATCCAGTAGAATGTTGAAATTATCAAAAAATATCATTACTATCCCACAGAAGTAAAATTTTGTTGAACATAATGCAAAAATGATTGCTGCAGTACATTGACAGGGTTCTGTCAGAAATCCAAGCTGGATTCAGAAGAGGACGTGCAGGGAGGGAGGTCATTGCTGAGGTCAGCTGGGTCTTGGCTGAAAGCAGAGACTACCAGGAAGATGTTTACGTTTATTTTATTGACTCTGCAAAGCCATTTTGATTCTGAATGACAACATTGTGGATAACATTGAGAAGAATGGGAATTCCAGAGCACTTCATTGTGTTCATGCAGAACCTGGACATAGACCCAGGTGTAGTAGGGAATACCGCAGAGTTTAAAATACGGAAAGGTCTGCAGCCAATTAAGCCGGCCGTCCTCCTTGTGGGGGCCGGTGTGCAGTGGCTGCAAACAACAAGCCTGTGTTTGATAGTGTATGCAGCCTGTTGGTATGTATGGGCTACCCTAAGTGACCCTGGAGACAACCCTTTGCTGCTTGTCTATGGCTCTGGCCTGGCTAATTTCTGCCCTCCATAAACTAGGCTCCAAACCAGAATGAGAGGTGCTTTTGGAGAACCTCAAGGCACCGTGGCTAGAGTTCACATTGGCTAGGTCATCATGTCCATCCGCACCAAGCTTCAAAACAAGGAACATGTGATTGAGGCCTTAGGCAGGGTCTCCACTGGCTCCTGCCGGTCCAAGGCTCTGGCTGCCATCAGCATGTCTCCATGTGGCTTGTCAACAGGAATGTCTCACAGGAAGTGAGTGAGTGTATGTGGCTTCCAGTGAGCTATTTATCTCAGTTGCACCTCCAAATGAGATCATCAAGCTGCGACTTGATTGGCAGGCTAAACTCCACCCCTTTACTTTTAAAAGCCTCAAGTTGACAACAGATTATGTAACCACCACAAGGTGGATGAAGTAAGAAGGCAAAGTGAGAGGCTAGGGGACTCAGGCCAGTGGGTGCAGAATCATGTAGATTCCAAGGGTCACAGGAATACGGCAGGGTGCCACCTTTCTCAGGGTTGACCGGGCACATGGGTTGCGAATTCTAGAGCTAGACATACAACCCAGCCAAGCAGGAAGGTGAAGAGGGGTAAGATAGAGAAGTTCTCAGTGTCTCTCTTGTCAAAAGGCCACACCCCCATGGAGGCATCATCAGGCTGTAACTTGATTGACAGGTTGGACTCCACCCCTACCTTCACATAGGTACCACCAAGTTGACGTAAAATCTAACCGTCACAATGATCATGGAAGCAGTAGTGAGAAATTAACTACTGTATATTGGGCTAACCTACTGCAAAAATACTTCCATAAAGGGTCCCAAAGCACAAGGTCACTTTGAGGCCTAATCCGTGCCTGACTAGGCACCATGAAAGTCATGCCACCATGAAAGTCAAAGTCGGAGAAGGCCATTGTGGTTTGTGGCGTCAATGCCAAAGAGGAAGAGTCAGCTACATGGATTACAATGGAGACCGGCACCCATCCTGGGCTTGCTGTGGCACACAGGGATTCAGTCTGTTGAATTTATGAATTGGAAGCAACTCCACAGCCTCTAACCACAACATTCCCAAACCACTCTCATTCTCCAATGGGAGACTTGGATGAATACCGAGGAACCAAACGGGCCTCACCCCAGTGTTATATTTAATTCCTGGGTGAGGGCGTTTTCCAGGATAAGGAACCTGGAGTTTGAGAATGACTTGGGATGTTTTAGACTGAACAACGGGAAAACAATGTTCTGCATATCTTCTGACCTTTGAGTTCGGGTATGGAAGTCAAGCTGTTGCCAACCTCAGAAGGAGTAAAATGGTATCCCCCCCCTCCCCTTGTGTAATAGTTAAGGGAAGGGGTTTTTCGATTTGACTACATTATGAAATGTAGACTATATTTACTGGTTGATGAAAGATGACATTAAGATAATCTATTTGCTGTAAGAAATTCAGTTCAAATATATATGATCATTGTTTGAACTCTTCAAATGAAAATATGTACTGCTTAATGCCCATTAAGAATTCTTTCCTCTCTCCAAACCTTCAGTTCCATTAAAGTATCATTTATTGCGTGACATCTTGGGATCAATTTTATGCTGACACTCTGGGCTAAACATCTAGAACCTCCGTGCCAGACAAGGGGTCCACATATTCTATAGTATGCACAGAAACCGTGCATGGAATGTGCTGTCATATATGTACAATGTGTATACTCATGTATAAGCCGAGTTTTTTTTAAATCATTTTATTAGGGGCTCATACAACTCTTATCACAATCCATACATGCATCAATTGTGTAAAGCATATTTGTACATTCATTGCCCTCATCATTCTCAAAACATTTCCTCTCCACTTAAGCCCCCGGCATTAGGTCCTCATTTTCC